CCATTCTTCCATTCTAAAACAAAGTTGCGAAATAAATTTTGTTAAAAAAGTTAGTCCTAAAACTGCCACTCCCATTTTTAGGGACTTGTATTCTACCAGAATGCGAAAAAAAAAATTTCATGTTTTCCAAAAACACGTTTTTTGACACCCCGCTATCTATAAAATTTTATTAAATTTTAGTAGGGTATATCCCATATAACCGTATTCATTTATTGCAAATTTATTTTTTTACTTTTGTTACTTGAAGTCTCTTAGCAACCCCTTTACAAAAATACATGCTACTGTACTGTATGTATGCATGTACGCACATTTACGCCCCTAGCAAAAGCAAAATCCCATTACTCACCGCCTGCTGAACGCTTATGCGCGCCTTGTAGGCAATCTTATAAAATTCATAACAGTGTTTGCACACTTTTGCAAGTAAGTGTAATAGTAGTGTGTGACGACTACTCGACATTTGCATAAAGCAGATCGGCGCGCGAAAATCGAGCAAGAGTAAAGTAAAGCAGCGGCATAAAGGCGCCATTGGCAGTGAAATGCCAAAAAGCGCATAAACATATGCAGATTCATACAGTTGCGTTTACATGTGTGTATGAGTACAAGCGTGTACGCATTTGCTTGAATGCATGTCAAGGTAGTAGTAGTAGTAGTAGTAGTAGTAGTAGTAGTGAATATAAAGCAGGCGCATCACGGGGTTGCACGCTTGCTTGCGCACATTTTTTCGCTACTTTTTTTATGCTCTACTCCTCACTTGTCCTCGTAAATTTTTTCGAATATTTCTTTGGCAAATTTCTTCTTAGTAAACTTTCGCTGTGTGCTTTTTTGCCTTTCTCCTTTGAATTCGCTCTTTACTTTTCTTTGCACTTTTTTAACTTTACTGCGGCACATTTCACTGCACTTCATAGTTGGCTGTCGCCTATCTTTGACATTTTTTTCCTTTTAAATGATTTTCACTTTCTTTGCATGCGTTCGTTGGAAAATTGCGATTTAACTTCCGCCCTTTTGTTGGCCTACAAAAAAAAAAAAAAAAAAAAAACCAAGAAATAAAATAGGCTAAATAAAAGGCAGTTGAGCAGCTCAAGCGATGAATATTCAACACACAACTTTATGTTCGGAGGGCTCAGCGTACCAGTTCGCATACACATGTAACTTTTTGTATGCCCATTGTTGTCATTGAGTCTGTCTGCTCGCTTAGGGTGTGTATATTTCCTGTAACTGTACCTTTGGCTGTAATGTTCGTAACAGGCGCACAAAAGCTGGCAAATAGCTTTTTATTGCATATTGGCATACGAAGACGAGATGGTTGAGGCGCAGTAGCAGGGAGCTTGTGTGCGATTTTTATCCTAGTCACTTCGCACACAGGAAATTCTTCCAATTGGTACATCGCTGGAACTAGTAAGCTAGCTGAGATTTATCTAGGAGACTTCTCTGTAATAGTTGCTGGTTTTCGGTGATTAAGTGAGAAGATTAATATTGATCGAGTAGTGGGTTATTTTTAGCCGGGTTGGCTGTTATCTTTATCCGGCTACCCGGATAGTCGGTTTTAGTTGGCCGTGGACTCGGGTTGTGGGTTATCTTTATACGGGTACCCTGATATGGGGTTATCTTTATCCGAGTACCCGGGTAGGTGGTTATCTTTATCCAGGTACCCGAATAGATGGTTATCTTTATTCGGGTACTTGGATAGCGGTTTATTTTTGTTCAAGCATACGGATAGATAGTTATCTTTAACCGGGTACTTGGATAGAGGGTTATATTTGTCGGGGACCGGGTAGTGGGTTATCGTTACACGGGTACCTGTATGTAGGATTAGTTTTTACCGAGTACCCGGGTAGGCGGTTATCGTCATACAGATACCTGATACCAGATTATATGTGCCAGATTCCCCGAATAAGGGTTTTCTTTATCCGAGTACACGGGTAGGTGTAGATTTTATCTGTGCACTTGGGTAGTGCGTTGTTCTTTTCCGCGCAACCGGGTAGAGGTTAATATGTGTATGCATATCCGGGTATCTGAGTAGCGGGTTATCTTTAACCCGATATCCGTTTAGAGGGTAATATTTATTCGGCGGGTAGCGGGTTACTTTTATCCGGGTACGCCGGTAAGAGCTATTATTTATTCGGCTACCCAGATAGGGGAAATCTTGATCCGGGCAGTGAACTGCCCAACCTGCATGAAATAATAGATCAAGAGTCAATTACAAGTTAAGTTGTTACATGGGAAATGTACGTATAACTACAACCGGAGGGGATTTAATTTTATCTCTCATTAATATTCCTCCTTGACTGAGGAGAATTTTTATTTTTCATTTATTTTTCACCTTGACTGAGAAAAATTTTTATTTCGCTTCGGTAAAGGTTTCCCTCTGAGAGCAACCAATAAAACATTGTTAAAAAAGTTTCGGTTAATCTCCGACTGCTACTTTATTGCTCCTTCGATAAGAGCTATTATGCGAGCATTTTTATTGGTTATTAGTTATCTTCGAGCTCTGGTAAGAATGTGTTTATGGCAATTTTCGCAGCATATTAGTAAGCAAATGAGTAGTTCCGAACTAGTTACGAACTAGTATTTTTAGGGCCAGCGCATTCAAAACGCCAATACATTCAACAGCTTTCGGTTGGCCTTATTGCTTATTTAGTCACAGGCTTCAGCCGAATGCTTTCGCATGCATTTACGACTAGTTAGTCACTAGTTTATAAAAGTGCTTCAAAACCAGAAATTCCGAATACTACAACTGTATGCATTTACACGTACCTATACATACATGTGACCGCGTTGCTGTGCGCTAATATTTACAATCCAAGCTACTATATACTAAGTCGGCACAGATACCATTAGCATCCTTTTGTGAGCTGCAAATCTATGTCACTCATACGCACCGTACGACCTACAATCTATGTACATACATACATACATATGTATGGATGACGACCAATGACTCTGCCAACTGTCATGTGCAGCGCGAAACGAGTGTGACATAAGAATTTATAGTTTTTGGCAAAATAGACTAAATGAGTTTAGCAGTTTTAGCTGCCTAAGTACAAATCGGGATTGCTCATTGAGTTAATAATACGCTTGTTTCAGCCATTCGTACATTAGCTATTAAATTACTATATCTCCCATTGGTACAAAAAATCTACAGTTTTTTTTTCTGACAGATTTATAATCTGCTACATCAAAAAGTATTAAGTTAAATTATGGCATTTACCTTTTATAAGCCGCGCGCACATCATTTGCCTCAGTCTATGTGACAAGCGCGAGGATAAGTGCCGAGACGCACAGCTGGAGGACTTTGGGCGGGCCGTCAAGTAGTGCCTACGCAAGTCAACTCAATCTTTGGGGTATAAATTGCACACATACATACATATGTATATGTGTACGTACATAAATACATGTTTGCCCCATTCACACTTGACATTTCTAGTTGGGTGCGATGGCCCTACGGCTGCTAGAGACTGACTACTGCATATTGGCTGGATGTTGACTGCTACCTCTGATGAGCATATTTTTGTGCATTTCACTTGAAAATCCGCATAAACAACAAGAACAGCAGAAGGCGCACAAACAACACTAAGCAAAGCATGCTTTTCATATATTCTTCATACATACATACATACATACATAGTAGTCATAGTTAGCCGCCTGCATTTGAATTAATTTGCTAAGCAGCTGCTTTGTCTGTCACAAAAAGTAGAAAATGCGTGTCGCAAAGCGCATAGCTCAGCAAATATGCAGCAGTCAACAGTGTGAGTAACTGATATCAAACTTGTTCTTTCTTTTTTGTGTGCTGGAGATGCATTTAGCCAACTTTTTTCTATCCATCCTCTATTTGCCCACACAGCAGCAAAATAAAAAAAATGTTTGTGTGCTGCAATGTCAGTGGCAATGAAAAAGTTAATGCATATAAAAAATCAACGAATGACTCTATGCAAACTACGTGTAACTATTTGACGTATGCAGCAGCAGCTGGAAGGGTTGTAAAAGTGAAAACTTTCTGGTTTGACACTAATGTCAATATGAAGGTGAGTGATGTCAATAATGATGTTAGTTGATACACACATCTCTTCGGGGTTATTATGTTTGCTTTGACAGTGGCATTGAGCAGGAGATTTTAAAGCACTTTAATATTTTTATTTTTGAATGCGGATGGCAAATGTGACATTAATATAATAGAATTTCTTTTAAAGAGATGTGCAGTCGACATTGCGCTTTTGTTAACTTTTGCCTTAATTTTGCATATTTTCTATGTTGTTAAGCAGAAATACCCATGAAAAAGTTTAAAAATTGAAGCGGTAAAACATAAATTTTTTTTAACAATTTTCTGATAATTATTTTGGTTGAATATTTTACTAGCAGTGGAGGAATCGATATCGTTATCATTAATGCTTACTTTATCGATATCTTAGCGTTATCGTTAGCGAAATTGTTATCGATATTTTGCCGTTATCTATAAACTAAATATTTCTCTCATTTTTGAATTTTATCGCTATCGATATGGATATTCTTGTTTCTATAATTATTATTATCGATATTATTATTGTTATCGATTTCTAGGTTTCAAAATTTTTTTTAGTATATAAAAAAATTTAAAGGTATCGATAACATTAACAAAATACATGGTAACTGTTATCGGTAATACCATATTCATCGATATGTTGTCGATATAGTAAATGATCGAAATAGTAATTGATATCGTTATCGATGTTTAAACCTACTCGCAATGCTAACTGTTATCGGATTTTTTTGCGCACAAAATATGTACACATACGTTTTTATATCTTTTGCTTTGTTATCGAAATCTTTTTAGATTTTTATAACTTCTGTCTTTTCCATAGCATTTATTTTAACATCATTAATATGTATGCATTTTTTGATTGCATAAAGCTCAACGCTTTTATGATTTTAGTCGAAATCTGCACCAAAGCACACCCTTTTCTATTAAAATAATATCTACTTTATATTTTTAGAATAAAAATTAGATTTAAAGTCGATCAACTTACATCTGTCATCTTCATCGAGGAATATGTAACTTATTAATATGGCGCCTAAAATACCAAGTAACTGAAAGAAAAAGAGAAACAAATATGAGAAGCGTTATTTGATATTTTTTTTTTATTTAAGATATGTAATTATTTTTGATATACATACATATGTACATAAAACTTGTAGGAGCGAAAATAGGTTTTTTGCTTTTAGATCAAATTTAAATGATTTTTTTTTTGTACTGAAAACCTCTTATTTACTTTTTTACTTTACTTTCCTTTTTTTGTTGGACTTACCGCTAAAGCACATTGCACACCCGATTGTACTACTTCGACTATAGTATAATCTAATAAGCAATCATCCACACGTTCCGGACGTATGGGACGAAATGGATCGTCAGAGGTGATATTCACTGGATATGTTGGCTTGCAACCATAACCGTTCACCTCGAACCAGGAGACGCTACCGGTGCCCATATTGAGCAGATCGCTGTCCTGTGGGCAGAGAAGTGTGAAACAAAAATAAATGGAATGTGTAAGAAAAATTTTACATATGTAGATATGTAGGTAAGTACATATGGTCAGGAAAAAGTATGTAAAGGCAAATTCGATGAGATTTTTTCAATATGAATATCGTCAATCATCAATATGAAAGGAAAGTCTTATTTTTGGAAATATGTGTTTTTAAAAATTTGTTTGGCTGCTTTTAATTACGAAAGTCCAAAGCCAAATTTTCTCTCTTTAGCAGACCCGTAATCATTTCATATATAAATGTTTACTTCTGCAAATTTTCACATTTTTGAAATAGGGCGTTTTGCATTGATGTTGACGGTTTAAATATTTTTTTCTAATAAATCATTTAATAATATAAACAAAAAATCTTATAAAATATTCACATACCCGATCCAATATGCCTACATTCAGGTAAAAGCATATCAGAAACGCATTCCAACCAATCCAAATGAAGCTCCATACTAAATACTGAAAGAGGGAAAAAAATTTGAAACAAAGTTGAAATTTTATTTATTAACTATTAAAAAATAATTTGTATTGTACCTACATATATCAATTTTGTTTAATCAGTATATATATAAATATGTATATATTAAATAAATATGTAAATTAAACAAGTTTTATTTTTCCACTTTGTACATTCCTGTTCTACTTTTTGCCGCAATCTCATTCAAAATGTGTCAATACGGAGTTCATAATAAAGCAATAAAAAAATTGTGTGCATAAAACCAAACAACTTATGCCACTTCTTATCGCTAAGCACCAATAGTTGAACTGCAATGCAGTAAATCTTTGTTTGCCAATCGACACCATGGCGTATGCGTAATCTCTATAAGGGCGGGGGAATACCTACATAAATCATTTTATCAGCAAAAAAGCATACTTAGCGATAAGTTTTATTGCTCTTTTTTATTAATTTTGTGTTTGAGAAAAAGCGTACCGTAATCGTTTTGTTTGGCATAATGCATAATGTCGAAAATCATATTTACTTTTGTACATACATACATTCTATACGTTGAGACCGATATTGATAAGATAAGAGTAAAAAACTAACAAAAATAAGAAGGGGGGAAAACGAAAAGCAGAGGAGGCGCCATAAAATGGGAAACACCGCAAGTACAGTTCTTATAATAATTAAGGGCAGATGCTATTACACATATTCATATCTACACAGCCGTGACAGATGTGCGCTGATATGTAATATAGCAGGGGAAGCGAATGATATTATTATAACGCGCAAACTAAGTATATATGGGGCACTCCAACGGGATGGGTGGGGCATTTTAACTCATTTTTGATCAATCTTTAAGTAATTTCTCTTTAACAATTAATTTCAGAAGTTTCAAAATGTTAACTCATTAAGCCAGATATCAGATTATTACGAAACTAATAAAGTATAAAATTTAATTGTATAATTTACACAGAAAATAGACGGAACAACGATGCACAGCGGTCAATAAAAGGAATCTAATGTTCATAATTCACTGGAGCCTTCATTTCTCAATCAATTTGGTTAATTTTTTTTTTTTAAATGAAATCTAATAAAATGTGCAAAAGACTAGTTGAGCTCAATTTTCAAATTTTTATTTGTTTATATTAAATTTTTTAGTGCAAAATGCAGAAAACTGCCAATTTTGAAGAAAATCGATTCTCCCGTTTCAGCTGATCAAAGTTTCATAATAAAAACTAGTTAAAACCAATTGTAGGGTTCTCCCAAAACGAAAAAAATATATATCGAGTAATAATTTGAAATGTTTAAAAATGTTTCACCAAAGTTTTTTTTTTTGGCTTTTATAAAAATTTTGAGTATGCAGTTTTATAGATCACTAAATTTTAGTATAATAAAGTGACTGCACTTTCCTCTAAAAAATTGATTATAAGCAAATACAAAATCAAAAGTTGGGCCCAACTAGTCTCTTGTAAATTTTATTAGCTTTCTATAAAAAAAAAAAAACAAAATTAATCAAATTGGTTGAGAAATTAAGGCTCCAATGAATTATAAAGATTAAATTCCATTTATTGAGCACTGTGCGATGGCACCTGCATCTCTGAGTTGATGGTTACGTTTCCCAATTTTAAACGAACTACAAAAATTTCCGCCGCTGTGGTGTAGTGGCGCTAGCATTCCGAAGGGTTCAAGCCCAGTTCAACGCAACATCAAAAAAATAAAAAAAGGGTTTTTTCTAATAGCGATCGCCTCTCGACAGGCGTGGCAAGAGTGTATTTCTGCCAAGAAAAACACCTCCTCATAAAAATACAATCGCCGTGTAAGCACCAATTTATTATTTTTATTATAAATATTTCCTTCATAGCGCCTTTCTCGTATGTAGCTAAAATAATAGTAAGGTACATTTTAAGTTTTAATGGCATTATTATATTTTACGGTTTAAGAAAAATACTCTGTTATCCACTACTGAGGATACATAGTTCGCGAGTAAAACCCTGGACTATACTGGTTTAATATGAGTACTTATTATACTTTTAATAAAAGAACCTTATTTAAACAATGGGAAGCTTACTTGTTTGAAAGTTAAGTTAACAAAAAAGTTTGCTGCGACGGCCAGCACTTTCAATAAGCATTTCTTTTAAAGTTGACAACATCTTGCCATAAATAAATTATTAAATAAATTAAGACATATGAAATACTATAGAAGTGGTCTCGGAATGTATCAATTTTTCCTTATGAAAAATACTGGTACTAAAAATCAGGGACGAAAAATCGTTTCATTGAGAACCGTGATTGTTAATTTTAAGACAACGGAAAGCTGGTTCATATCAACTTCCATATCGTTTATCATTTTTTGTGCAGCAAAAGGCCTTGTCTTAAGTCCTTCGTTTAATTAATTTGCATGATTGTCTTTCTGCTCTGGTTTGATTGATTTTAATACTCAAACATCTCAAACTAAAGCAACGCTATGACAAAATGCTTGTTCTCGCTTCAGTTTTTCGCAAATGGTTCAGAGAAGATTTGTTCTCGTATCTTTCTCTGTCAGAAAGTACCTGACACTTTAATTCTAAAATTATTCTTAGAGAGAAAGTTCTTTGGATTTTTTTCTAATTTTGTTCTTTCCGTTCAGTACGTTCCGGATACTTTTATGCCCAGTTTGTTCTCTTCGAAATGTTCCCGCAGGTATTGTTCGAACTTTGTTCTCTTTGGGAACGTTTCACAGGGTTTTGTGAGAACATTCTCGGCAGTTTTGTTCTCTCTTTCGTTCTAGTGAAAACACTCCCGAAGGTTTTGTTCTCATTTTAGTTTTAGCTTTTAAGCGTTCTTGGGAACAAAACTGCGAAAACGAAATTAAGTTTCGATCATACTTTTTGTTCTAGGTCCCTACTAAAAATTCGGAAAATCAATGTTCGGTACTTTCGGTAAAATATTCTCTTGTACTAAGAGAACTGTGGTTTAGAATACATCTAATTTTTTTTGCCTAATTCTACTAGTTCCGTGTTGGTAACAGGGAGCCTCTATCTTATGCAAACCATTTATAAAATGTATGATGTGACCAGCTGTGATTTAATTTCCTGCATCCTCTTTTTAGGCGCACTTTAATTTACGTATATAGATATACTCGTAAAGCCAAAGTGATCTTATTTTGTGTAGATATGCACAGTCTATTTTTTTATTTATTTGCATTGTTTGAACGAGGCTAATCGAAAAAGCAAAAGGCGCGTTTATCAGAGTTGAAGCAGGGCTCACATATAAACTCTCTTTGTTATTATTTATCAAGCGGTTGCTTGTTATGGTTGCCTTTAGTGCTACTAATGCGCTCTTATTCATATCTACATAAAAATTTAAAAATAAATACGCATATGATAAGAAAAATTGATAAACCCGTGCAGTGCAATATTATAACTTTGTTGTTTTTTTGTTCGACAGCTACACAATCAGTATTTTTTAGTTTAGTTGCTTTCATTTATCAGTGGGCACTTCAGTTGCCTCTTGCAAATATTTCATAAAATTTATTTATTTAGTTTTAATATGTAAAATCATATGAAGTATGTACGTATGTATGCAAATTTAATTATCGATGGTCCTCTGGAATAGCGACACAATGCAAAATTCAAAAAATAAAAACTCTTATAATTTTTTATTTTTATTTTTTTTTAGGATAAGTGAGACATAAACATATATGCCTATTTACATATACACATACACATTTCGACATATACACACATTTAGGAACACTCGAATACAATATAAACAATTGTTTTTGTTATCAGTTAGTTATCGCCCCTTGATGACGGAAGTTGTTTGAAATGTGTGTTTGCTTTTGTGATATCTTCACTCGGCTACATATTTATGCTTATCTACATAAATACTATTTATATACAACTTTGATATCTTTGTTTAACAACGCAAACGATGATAGCGTGGTAAACATTTATTAATGTGTAAAGGTGAAACAGAAAGTGGGGAGTTTAAAAATCTGTCAAACAGAGCAGCTAGCGTGAAATGCATTCAGGCTTTGCACACTGGTTCAAAATTGGCATTTGTATTTGATTTTTGATTTTGTGTTTGTTTGTATTATTTTGCACTAAGCGCAGAAAAATTCGCAATTTTGAAGAAAATCTATTCTCCTATTCCAGTTAATAAATGTTGCATAATAAGAACTAATTTAAAACAATTGTAGGGTTCCCCCAAAACGAAAAGAATCACAAGAAAAATTTAAAAGGTTATATAAAAATTTCACCAAAAATTTAAAAAAAATAATAATTGAGTTTCTAGTAAAATATTGGGTATGCAGTTTTGCACTTGTAACTTGCACCTTATTATAAAATTTAATGATTTAATAAAAAGGCATACCCCACATTTTCATAAAAACCAAAAAAATAAAAAATATAGTTATGGGGAAATCTTTTTTTTAAAACATTTTAAGTTTTATTTTTTTCCGTTTTAAGAGAATACTACAATTATTTTCAACTAGTTTTTATTATTTAACATTTACTAACTGCAGCGGGAGAATCGAAATCCTTCAAAATTGCTACTTTTCTGCACTTTGCACTAAAAAATTTAATTCAAACAAACAAAAATTCAAAAATCGGACTCAATTGGGATCTTGCAAATTTTATGAGCTTTCATTAAAAAAAAATAATAATAACAATAATAATAATTAAATTGAATAAAAAATTAAAGCTCCAATGAGTTGTGAACACAAAATGCCAATTTTGAACCACTGTGCCGTGGTGGCTGCCGTTTTTCTACGTTCGTTGTAGTTCTAGAAATATTGAAGACTCAACTGCATAGGATTTTCAACCCCAAACAAAGCCTTCTTGTTTTTGCTTTTCTTTTTTAATTCGGCAGGAGTCGGTGACCTTCAGAGGTAGAATAGACAAACCAAGAAGTATAAACCATTGAGTAACGCAAGGCGGCGCTTTGCGTCTTACACTTTGCAAGACTTTTCCTAAGCTCCTGCAGCCGCCTCAGCGAGTTTCAATGACCCCCTACGCCGTTGAGTGAGTGGTCACTAGCACGAACTGCATTCGTTCTTTACTGCGGTAAATCTGCGAATCTCCGTCGTGAAGTCTACGGCCACCATATTCGCCAGATGCACAAGTGAGAAGACTGGAACTGAACATACGAGCTCGATGGCGCATAAATCCCAACCACAATTCTCACAATAATACTGGGTTCAACGATCAACAGCATTCGCGCGTTGTCGGCCAATGCAACGACAATCAACAATAAGTTGGGTAAAGTCTAGGGTTGCCAACCTTACTATAATATATAGTATTGTACTATTTTTTGGGTCTGCGTACTATATGTATACTGTTGGAAAACTATATATAGTACGCAAAAATACTATATGTCGTCAATTATAAAAATAAATATATCTTAGTAATTTGTAAGAAAGAAATGTTTTAACCTTGATGACATTTATACTGAAATATCAGTATTACAAGAAATATACTTTAAAACAAAGGGTTCTACAGATGAAAAATGGCAGCATTTTTAAAAATACTTAGAAAGATTTACCAAATTTACTGAAAGCTATTTCGCTTATGCTCTCTATTCCTGCAACTTTGGCATTCACAGAAAGAGTTTTTTCTATTAAGATTTTGAAATGGTGAGATGAGAGAAATAAAGCGAATATATCACTATTGATTGCGATAAAGCTTATGATACTTTCAAAGAAATGTATTTTTTTATAGAGGAAATGCATAACACAGAAAAAAATGTACACATAAAAAGCATTTTTACTTGTTCTTAAAAAAACAATATCATATATATTTCAAGTGTACTATATTTTTTCAGAATTTTTTGAAAAGTACTATAAATTTCGGAGGAAATATTGGCAACCCTAGTGAAGTCGAAAAACCGGAATAAAGTATGCAAGTGATTTGATGGCAGCACATGGGTGAAAGACAAGAAGAGACCATGCTCGCCGCGTACAAGGCCAGCGGGTAATCGGTATATTCATCATTGGTTGATAAAATCAAATCAAGCACACTACAACATTATCGACACAGTCAACCCTCCGTACCTTGAGAAAAGGCACCTAAACAAGCTGGGAGGAAAAAACGCTTAGCTAGCACGGATAGACGATAGCAAGTTTGGTTCTACCTCATTGCATTCTACCCACTTTGCATAAGTTACCATATTTGTAGACAATGCGCTATTTTCCGTCTAAAATAGAAATAATGATTTATATTGTTCTTGTTTATTTTTCTTTTGGTAATTGATTATTCATGCGTGTTAGCATCTACGAGTAACGAATATACGCAACGATATCAACGATAACGGGGGGGAATCAAAACAGCTGTCGATCGTTAAGTCAAAACGTGCGATGCAATAAACAATCAAATGAATGAATGAATGAATGAATGAAGGTAGACAGCGGAAAGCGCGCAAAGAGGTTACTCGAAGTGATTGTGTTATTAGCCGTGGCGATTTAAGCAATGCGTGTGTGTGTGGGGTATAGAGCGTAGGCACGTGTTTGGCTAGAAAATACGCGCAATGCGGCAAATTACAATACGACACTTGATATGCAGACGAAATCAATAATAAATGAATTTCATACACTTGCACTGTGAGAACGATTTAGGCATAAGCGTGGAAATAGTATGTGGATTATCGATGATTACGTCATTGAAAATGTGCGCTGAAGCTCGAACTTCTAGGTCAAATAATTATGAAAAACGTTACCATTTCAAGTGTTTGTTTATATTTTTAAGTTAAAGCAACCAAATTGTTTGAACATATTAAATTCATAATAGCTGTTTTTTTGTGGAATAGTTTAGTAATCAAATAAAAATATAATCGATTACACTGAGCATGCGTGGAGAATAAATTGAAGCACTTATCCGCTTGATAAATGCACTTTTACCTGTCAAGTCATGTCAAGAAAACTTTTAAATCCATATTTTTTCGTTAAGTGACACACTGACACATTTTGAAAGCCCTTCTTCTTCCACATAACTGTATATTTATAGTCATTAAAAATTATGAATATCAAACAGGTGAAAACTAGGCAACGACAAACTACTTTTATGTACATATTTATAAATGTTACAACGGTTTTCTAACTTTTACATAATCAAAAAAAAAATGCATGTCGGCACTTATTGTGCCTACCGATATCACCGAACAAATTATAGAGTTTCTAATAAGTCCATAAAAATTTAATTCTGTTTGGTTTTGTGTGCCCATTTTTCGAGGGCGAAAGGATATACATATAAATTTATATAATATTTTATACGTTCTGTGTTTTGAACAGCTACACATTTTTGTGCAATTTTTAATGTACGAAAAATGTTTCAAACTGTATTCAGTTATTAAATTTATCAAAAATTCATGTACATTTTTTAAACCATCGCAAATTATTGTTCGTGTAGAGATAAAAAGATTTGCTCAAAAAATGATGACTAGGTTTTAAGTGACCAAAAATTTATATCCAAATTTTAAATTACAAAGAAAAATTTACCTTTTTTTTTACCACAAAATTATTAGCTATGTTCATTACTTAGTTAGCCAAAAATTCATAACTAGCTTTAAATTAGCAAAAATTAAAAAAATACTTTTTAAATAACAAAAAAATAATGTTAACTCAAACTAAGGTCGGCTTTTTAAACACATAAAAATATATGTCCATTATTTTAAATTTATCTATTTGCCAAATACTACAATGAAAATAAAATATACATATAAATTAATGCAACTATCTCATTGTACACTAGCGATTAAAGCATTTAAAAATAAATTAATAAAATAAATATAATTTTTCAGCATTTCCATTTTACTCACGGTTATTATATATTTTATTCTAAAATGATATGCTCCATAAAATCCCAATATGATGAATATTATGTGAAAGAAATTGACCAATATGGGCGCCCACATGTATCCGAGAAAATCGAATACTTGGCGTTCGATGATTGTTATCTGTAAAAAAAGGGGAAATAAAAAACATTAAGTCATTGGTCAATTTAAATTGTACAACTTGCTGTATGCATCATTATACATATATGTAAGTACATACATAAATGGCATATCAATAACTTCAATTATGTACAATAACAATAATATATATGTATTGAGTTCAATAGAATACCACAATAGAGCAATGCAGTGTAAATGGAATTGCGTGCTGTTATATAAGAGTTCCAATTGAATGCATGCGAACGTTTTTATGAACGTTGTATGACCAGCACTGACCTAGTAGCCTCAATTGCAACACTGCAACATTTTACGCACCACAAAGTCTCATTAACAGCATACACTAAGGGAGACAAGCATATATTTATGTAACTTTACGTCATACATACATATACTATTTATACATAATGTACATAAATATAAACTCGCATACATATATAGAATATGCACGAAATGAAAATGGTTCGTCTTGGTTTTAATGTGTTCATTGGTTTGTTATTTATTATGGTACATACATATATGTATTTAATTGAATTTAATTAGTAAACCCTCTGCAGCACCACGATAACGAAGTATTGGAGAGAAAGCAATTAGAACCAGTTGAGTCAATCGAAAATGTGCAGAACAAAAAATTTAATTTAAAAACTCAATACATACTAGAGGGCTGCATGAATTCATTCAAACTTCTAGTCAAACAGAGTACTGTAGATTTGAATATTTTACTTCACATACAAAACACTCAGCGTTTGGAATTTTGTAAGTTATGAATATAC